ACATATACATAGCCTATTTAGTACTTATATTTGATTTTCTTACTCTGTTTAGAGTTCTTCCTTTAAAATGTTCCCGAGGGTTCAGGATGTTGGTCTGTATCAGGTACGTTGCCTAGCTCTGGGAGGCCCTGAGTTTCTTCTCCAGTACTCCAAAAGAGAAGTGTGCAGACATAAAGTTCCAGAGTTCAGTTCTCTAAGACCAGTGCAAACCTGTCTTTCCTAGCAGTTGTCTGTAATCTCAGCCCTCCTAAAGTAAGCTGGGAGGCAGAAACAAGAGAGTCCCTAGAGGCTTGGGTCTTAGTAGGCTAGCATATACTCAGAAGCAAACACCATGAGATCCTGTCTCAAAGAAGGTGGAAAGCAAGGCTTGACACTGGAAGTGGTCATGGAATCACCACATACACATTCATAAACCCACACATATGTATTTACACATGGACATAACACCCACATACAGTTACGAACACACACAGATGTATGCCCATGGATATCACACAGACAGCCCCCCAAACAAAATCAGTGCCTAGCATTGCCTTTACAGTGTAATCAAGACTTAATAAGAAGTTAACTATTCAATTAGGACTTTTAGAGAAACTTAGAAAAGAGGGGCGTTGCTAATGTAGTACCCATGGATTAAGATCTGAGTGTTCCACTGTTCCTCCCGTTACTCTAGATTAATGCAAGGTGTGTTCAAACCACCATGAACCAGAAGCATGTACATAATCAAATACCTATTTGCTAGATACACTAAAAAGAGAACAGGGTTCGTCTCACCTGTCTTTGACGAGATCCATAAGCAGATATGTAACTGAAGAAAATCATGAGACATCTCATCAGGCTTCAAGGAACTCAGGTTCAATCTGCTCTTTATCCAGTGGAGTCTAAAAGACAGGAAGTACATGCTTGTGTACATGTAGGAAGTGGTAAGGAAGGAGCCTGACAGTAAACACGAGTCAAAGTACACATTTGTAAATACATAGACAGAACAACTGAAAGATTTCCTTACTCTCCTGCAAGGAATATCTCCATGTTCACCTTGAATGCTGCCCTTTATAAACTATTATCAACCCCCCCCCAAGTCTGTCTCTTGCTGTCAATGTGTTAAGAACACTTGTGTTTCATGTGCCCACGTTTTTTCATAATCTTTAAATTGTAGTAAAGATGTTATATTGGTCTTCGGGGCTCATGTCATGTTGTTAAGACATGGATATTGATTATAAATTCTGAAATAATCATTTACAGTTTCTATAAATTTATTGCAATTTAAAACCTTGGATGAAGGACGTTTAATGGGTGAATTGATATTTATTTATTTGAACACTTTCAGTATACTTAAGAGAATGTTCATCTGGACCTCTTCACCATATATGGAAAATGCATACACAAAACTAGTAGGGCTAATAATGAAGTCTTAATATGTTGATGTCATCTTTATTTAAGACAAACATTCAAACTGGTTTTGGTTTACTTTATCTCACTGTCCCGTAATCTCCTCATTTATGAACTCTGACATTTCAGAATTCCCATTCATCCTGATCAGAAGTTCTAACATGCATAAAGCCACCGCAACTTGTGTTTCTTACTTTAATGGAAATGTCTGAATGTTTTCAACACTGTATTCACTTGCCCACTTGTTCTCATGGGAAGGAAAACACTTATAGCCTCTTGTGGTCTTAATACTCAGTCAAGAAAATAATGCTTTCCAGGCACATTTTGGGGGCCTCTGTCTTCAAACACAGGAACAAGAGCTTGCATAAGCTTAGAGAAAGCATCACTATGAGGAAAATGAGGTCTGAAAGTCAGAACACTCATTATGTCTTCATTATAATTTTACTTTTGAAATTTTAGCTCTACTACATTAAAACTCTTCCTGAGTTATTTCCATCATTAAATTTTTCTGTGTCAGATTTCTTGCCTTGCTTAACCTTGAGTTCTGCAAAATTCCTAACATGTCTCTTGTTTATGATATATGGCAAAAAATAGGAATAAATAACAAAATGAACACAGATCTACAAAAAAGAGAACAGTACACTTGACAAAACTGTTAGTAAAATCTTTCACCTAGCTCCACGTACGTTTCCCACTGACATGAGAACCACACTAAGATATGAAGCTATTTGTATTTGCTGGCTATCCTAATCATTTATTATTCAGAGCTTTGTCTTACCCTTGCCCCTCTTCACTCTCCTAGCCAACAAGTAGGAGACAATGCCATTCACTGAAAGCCTTTTGACTTAGTTTCACAAAGTGTCTAGAAGTGTATGGACAGAATGAGTGATAGATGTTTCAGATTTGAAACTTAGAGGTAGTCTGACAAACACATTATTATTTTTTTCCTGTGACTATTTGATGACTAATTTCCTTGAGCGTGAAGTGAGCTGGGTACATGAGGGCAGATGGAAGAATGGGAGCCAGTGTCATCCTTCAAACAAGTGTGTACTAATGGAGATAAGATCCATGCATGCTGAGGTGTGTTATAGAGTAGACATTAATGACAGGTGTGGACGAGGTGCTGGTTACTTAGAGGAGGTAAATGTATTAATTTGGGGGGAGGTAGCATGCTGACGGGAGTTATTGGAACTATCCAGAATCCTCCCCTAGAACTGTCACTCAAGGACTCAATCACATCTGCATTTGCATTGCACCTACTTGGGTTC